TTCACGTGACATGCTTTGCAATATGGATACTGACTGTAATATCTATCTTTGCATCTCTAAATGAATCTAATTTGGAACCAAATCTAATTTGGAACTAGTTTTTAGACTCCCAAGAGTTACAGTGTATACCATCTAGCCTTGTTATTTTTTCTCTTTTCACAAAAAGTACATATAGATTAAATGGCTCACAGAGATCAGTAATGGGTCTATCACAGTGATTTTCAACCTTTTTCATCTCATGGCACACATAAACTAATTATTATGTCTGGCATGCAGAGACAACACAGCAAAATGTTCTCTCCGAACTTTAATGAGCTGGTTTTTAAGCTCCACTTCCTCTATGGAGCACATATCTTAAGACCGAGGGTGAACAATGGGCATGGGGGATATTGAAAATAGTCTCTTACTTTTCTTCAAAAGTATTCTTTCTATTAGATCCACACTTTACGATGGGAGCAACTCTCCATCTTCTTTGAAGACTTGTGCTCTGATGTCAAGACGGCAATCTGACAAAGAGTATCGAGAGAAAACATTCAATGTGAACAGGGATTCCAGGGCCTGAAACATTCCATGTAATCCTTCCTCCTCCTGGTCCTGCACCCTAAGGACTCTAGAAAGAGTGGAGTCAGTTCTCTGAAGATCAACATAGACACATCATTCGCTCAGGTCTGCTCTGACTCTTCCCATCTTCCCCACCACCTCCCAACCCCAGTCACAATGACCATCAAAGTAGGGTAAAGTCCCTAAGGTAAGAAGTTAAATCTGGAGAAAGCGATGGCCTTGGCCCCTGGTTTTAAGGAAAAGGTATTCTGAGAAAATTTCTAGTTTGCTATCCACATCACCCAGTTTCTCCCTTAACTGTGCTGACACCTTCCAGGAAAAAAAAGGTCATAGTACAGTAATGCCTCCCTGAAAACCCCTAGGTAGCTTTCCCAAAGACCAGGGTACAAAAGTTGTACCCAAAATTATGAAAAGAAGGGTTTGCTTGCATTGTGGAATCTATTCCACTATTTGAAAAAACATATGCAATATAAATTAAAGGTCAGAGGGGAATGGCCGTGCCTTAAGGAAGTTTTGAACATAGATGCCACCTAGTCTCTGCATTCTGATGATTCTCCTCACACAAAGAAAGGGATACAGTTTGTACTTCCTCAACAACAACCAGGGAAAGAGTGTCTTTTAATGTTGGGGGTGGGGGTGGGGAGGTGAGAGCACCAGCTTTTTAGTAATTAGCCGTTTCTTGCTCTGGGAGTGAGGCATGGCACAAGGACATGTGCTTCTGTGAAGCCTTTCCCCTGGACCAGCTCTGGCTGTAACTATTGAGCGTCACAGAGCTGTCACTGAAAGTGGGGGCTCATCTGACATGACTGGTGTGACTCAGTATTCGAGTGCCGACCTATGAACCAGGAGGTCACCATCCAACTCCTGGAGGTCACCATCCAACTCCTGGTCAGGGCACAGGCCCAGGGTGCGGGCTCTATCCCCAGTGTGAGGAGTACAGAAGGCAGCCAATCAATGATTCTCTGTCATCATTGATGCTTTTATCTCTCTTCCTTCTTCTCTGAAATCAATAAAAATAGCTTTAAAAAAAAATAAAAAGCAGGACACTTGTTTGTTAAATTAAAGTTCTTTCTATTCCTGCTCCAATTCCTAGTGTGATTTTTGTCAGGATACTTGATATCTTTGGACCAGCTTTATCCGCTATAAAACGAGGGGTAGAATTAGAATTAAGACAAAGGCGAGAAAGAACAAATCTCCAAACCATAATCATGGTTTCTCGTAAAGTTAATGATTCTTGGAAGTTATCTCAGTCAAGGGCAGACTCTGCCTCACTTTAAATCCTTATAATGAATCAAGCAGAAGACAGCATGACCAGGGAACAAAAAGTTGTACCTAAAATTATAAAAAGAAGGGTTTGCTTGCATTGCAGGATCTATTCCACTGTTTTAAAAAGCATATGCAATGTAAATTAAAGGTCAGAGGGGAATGGCTGGGCCTTAAGTGAGTTTTGAACACAGATGCCATCTAGTCTCTGCATTCTGCAGAATTCTTCTTTAAGTGAATAAATGTGTAGGATAACTCTCCATTACCTTGATCAGCATCTAATATCAACCTGACACTTGGAATTAAATTAGAGAAACAAAATTGGATACTTTGGGTCTTGAGGGCTGATTATACTATTGGAGCAGGGAGTGGATTTAAACTCTTTCCTTATCCCATTTAAATCTAACTAGATATAAACTCTCCATTACTGAGGCATAGAGGTGTGTCTGCAGAGGTGGAGGTTCCCCTTGAAGTTCTTGGACACCGAAACCTAATCCTTTCTTCTGACACACATGGTTGCAATAGAAAGTGTTCCCCAACTGCCAGTCTGGTTTTAATCTATTGTTTCAGACAGGACAGGATTTGCAGGGAATGCAGAGAAAAGAGCACAATTACCAGGACTTACTATAAAAGTGTTGATGAGAAATCAAATTTTAAACAAGTGTCCAAAAATAGTAAGCATGAACCTATTAGATAGCCGTACAGTGCACACGTGTATGACTATAAGGGCTTTTAATTGTAAGTCTATCTAAAGTCTGCTTCCAATACAACATTTGTATCTCATTTTACGAAAATTCTCTGGCTTACCAAATGATAGCGATGGTAAAATATTGCAATACATACAATGCTGCTTCATTTAAACAACACTCTTGCATGATGAGATATTCCATAAGTGAACTTCCATTTAACCAAACTAACTCTGCATTATGTAAGCTTAAATATGTTAATTAACCACTTTGTATGGAAACATTGCAAAAGTGTATTCTATATCTTTTCTTTAAAAGATGCACCCAGCAACATATCTTTTCCTGAAGGTTCAGGATTAGCATTTAAAATCCTTATTAAAATATGCTTAATATTTTAACTGTACTTCTTAGAAGAGAACAAGATGGCGAGCTTGTATGATGGTGAGCTTTTTGGTGATACTTTCCCCAACACCAAAAGGTTTCAGAATGCTGCTGTAAAGAAGTACAAAAGCAGACAAAACTAGCTTCCTTTTAGTGGATCTAGCATCTTTTCTGCCGCCAGCTGTTCCTTCTGGCACGTTAAAGGACTATCAACCTCTGAAAATTAATCATGTACTTTGTCAAAAAAAAAATTAGATTTAAAAGATATCCCTAGTCTAAGTAAGGCACTCTACTACATGCTGGGGAAAATGCAAGAAAATACAAAATATAGTCCCGTCCAAGGAGCAACCTTGCTGGCAGAGTGACACATCATCAGGCCACCACAGTGGTGGGAAACACAACTTATTACTTGGAAGTGTGAGAATAATTTACCTAAAAAACACAGGTATTACACTTGTGTCCTGATATACCTTCTTCAATGGGAGTACGTCTCATGTAGAAATACCAGTCCTGTGAGTCTTAGCAGATAAAAGACGAAATGTGCTGCTTGAGGAAATAGAGTAGGCAGACCCTTTGTCAGCTATCTGCTATAACCCTCATCTTATTTTTAGGCTTTATTTTACAACCCAGATGGCGTAGGATGTCATAAATCTAATCTTACTAATTCCTAAGGTCAGTGAAACTAATTAATAACATCTGTTAAAAACAAAACAAAACACACACAACAAAAAAATACAACACCCTGTATTTTAATGCTTTGCTGGGTATATGAGTACAAAACATTTAGACATTTTAGAAAACTGCATATATATAAGGGATACTGCATATCGTTTTAAAGATCACCACTTCCACTGGCACTATTTCTTTCCTGGGATTCAGTATTACTACATTTGGAGGGTTTTTTTGTTTGTTTGTTTGTTTGTTTGTTTGTTTTTTTAAAGTATCTTTTGGTTACTCCTACTTTTATTCCACAAACACCTGGTTTCAAAGTCTTCCTTGGTTTCAATTACCATCTGATTCCTAGTTCAGACCCCTCTTCGGAGGTCCAGACAGACCTATCTATCTAGTGAGCATCACATTTGGGAGTACTAGAAGCACCTCAAATTTGACAGAGACAAAACCAGTGTTGTTGAAGAACAAGAATTAATTTTCTTAGATGCTTCCCCTCTCCCTCCCGCCATCCCTACAATTCCTTCCCTGCTTATAGCACATCAATTATGCTTGAACGTCACCAGTGCTTTGTACCACTCTTATGAGATTTTAATGTATGGCTTTCATTTATAAATTGTGATTCCACCTGTTCCTTCAAGAGTATGGGCAGCCTTACTCCATTTATCTTCTATTTTTCCCTCTGGAAATGTGGTAATTTTTAGCATTTTTTCCATGGATAAATATAACAAAGACGGAAAGGAATTCTGATGAATCTCTGCGTTTTATTTTTACTGCTGTCTGACTTATAAGACTGGGAGCTGTGGGGTGCATTAACAGAAGCAGGAACACTGTGCTCTTGTAATTGAACTTAAAGCAGAACAATTCTTCTATCAGGTAGCCCCTTCTTCTGAGGCCTGCCTTGGATGGGTCTTGGTCCAACCCGAACCACCCTTCCTCCCCAATCTTGATGTGGGCTTCTGTGACAGCTAAGACACTGCATCATTTATGTATCTACTCCCCACAGGCCGTGCCCTTTGTGAAAGAACGACGTGTGTCTCTATATCTTCAGTGCTGTGCCTGCAGACCCGGATGAAATGAGGCTATCCAGTCTCCACAGGGGGCTTGCTGCTCTCTCATAGAATTGCGAAGGCCCCATTCCTACAGAAACTTCTTTAAAGTTGCCTCTGGGTGGCTAGAGTCCCAAAAAGCAACTTCCTAGCCTTTCTTCCCCTCTAAAACGCCAACCAAAGCCTCTCCCTCCAGGAAGCCAGTGCAAAGATTAGGTCTCCCAGGGAAACGCTGACGTTCAGCCCCGCCCGGTGCCTGTCTCCACCTGCTCTGCAGACAGGACCGTCTAAGGCCCGGGCACAGCGACACGCCCCCGAAGGCAAGAGCGCAGGCGCAGCAAGCAGGAGAGCAGCGATGTCACTCAAGACAAGAAAGCCCCGCCCCCTCAAGATGGCGCTGCGCTCAATGCGGAAGACGCGTGGGTGCTGGGGCTTCATCCGGGCACTTCATAAAGCACCCGAAGCTGCTCCTGCCCCCCAGGTAACCAAAGCTGGCCCTTCTCCTGCTCGTTTTCCATCCTCCTACGTTCTCCTTATTTCCTCTCCCTCCTTTCCTCCTTTTGCTCCTCTCTCTCCCCTCACCCCGCCCCCGTTTCCTCGGGAGAGCACCCGGTCGCTCCTCTAGTAAAGTCGTCTCCCTTAAGACTGCCCTTCTACCTGAGGCGTGGTGACGTCGCAGGGATGCGTGGTGACGTCACGCGCCCCTGGTGGGCGGAGCGTCCCGCCGCCTGCGCACTGGGACCGCCCACCTCCTGGTGTCCTTATGGTCTTCCGGTCCTTTCCCTGATAGTGAGCCCGGGGGCCCCGGAGGATGAGAGAAGGCTTGTTAGTGCCTGGGAGGTCTGCGTGGGCGCTGCGTGATACCTGAGCGAATGGCGGTGCTTTTTCCAGTGTTTCCTCTCCGTTACCCCAAAGTGGATCTGCCCGAAGATTAGGTCCCCAAGGGAAACACAAGTAAACTGCTGTGACCATTGATTACTCTGGCAGCAGGACGCGGCCTTCAGTGCGTCAGTATTTGGGATTTTACCCTCGTGGCAAAAGAAAAAAAATAATAATATGTGTGTATATGTGTTTGTTTCATTCATTCACACATTTTCATTCATTCAAACGTCTTCCCACTTTAAGCTCGCTGGTAGGCACATGCCATACATCTCTTGGGAGCTGTCTTCTGGGAACTAGGAAGAAACCCCCGATTCTGCGGTGATTGGGTGATTTCCTGGCCTCTGTGCACGTTCGTGGTGGTATTGCATAGGCGTGAGGCTGTTGTAGGGTGAGGGGATGTAGGATGAGGGGAAAGAGCACTCTACACTGGAAGTTAGGAAACCAGAGGTCCATGGATTTGTCAGCTGCTTGCTAGTGGGGAGACATGACAAGTCACTGAATCTCGCGGGGTTTATTCTCTTTAGGAAAATGGATGGAGGAAGGGTTGGACCGATTGCCACATGTAGGTTCTTCCGAGCTTTGGAAAATAATCTATGGCTTCATGATTATGAATCCAAAGTACAGCAATGAGATTATGAAAACCAAGATTTGAGTTCAACTGGTTTTTCTAATCGTCCAATAAATCTCTTAATCTGGGGTACTTAGGTTTTCTTTCTTGATATGAGCCTAATAAGATTCTTGTGAGGATGAAGGATATATCAGAAAGCTCATCATCAACACAATGGCTATTTAAATGTTACTTTAAATTTCAGGCAGCAATGTTAGGAAATAATTAGATAAATAAAAATTAGATAAATCCAATACTCCCCTCTTTGAAACCCTAGGGCCTGATTCTGTAAAACCAGAATTGGTTGATTACTATATTTATAGCTAATAGTAGCCTGTTAAAAGCTATGGTATCAAAGTAACTAAACCTTAGACCCCCAACTTCCTCTCATTCCAAACAAGAGCTAAGGAGGTCATGAGAAATAGAGAATCAAAGAAAAAAGAAAAAGAAACTAGAGCCCACAATTGCCCAGGGAAATTAAGGGGACTAAAATCATTATAAATGCTAAAGAAAAGTTTCTTAAACATCTATTGTTTCAATGGCATTTACCAAATCGATTATGTTGAAGGTAATCAACTGTTAACCTAGATTGTTTCAAGATGTAGAATTTCCAGAACAGAATAGTGTTTCTAAACCTTTGATTTAGCTTTGATTAGAATAAGAATTAAACGTGAGAGTATCTTTTAAAATTATAAATCTACATATGATTTTCAGTCATTAAAAATGATGGTTTGAAAGACACTTTGAAAAAGACCAATTGAAAAAGATACAAAATTGCTTTAATAGTGTAATTATAATATTATGTTTGTAAATAAATATTTATATAAATGTATGCACAGAAGAAAAAGAAAGACTGGAAGGAAACAACCATTTTTGTTTGTTTGTTTGTTTGTTTTGCTATGTTTTCCTAAGTAGTGGATTAAAAATGATTTAAGCTCTGGCTGGTGTTGCTCAATGTTTAGAATGTTGGCCCGTACACTGAAGGGTCTTCAGTTCAATTCTCGGTTAAGGGCATATACCTGGGTTGCAGGTTCGATCTCTGGCCCAGGTCGAGGTGAGAGTAAGAGGCAACCAATCAATATATGTGTGTGTGTGTGTGTGTGTGTGTGTGTGTGTGTGTGTGTGTTGTGTGTATCTCCCTTCTTCCTCCCCTCTCTCCCTCCCACTCTCTAAAAATCAATGGGAAAAATATCCTTGGGTGAGGATTAACAAAACAAAAAAGAAAGTGATTTAAGTTTTCTTCTTTATGCTTTTTGTATTTTTCATATGTTCTAAATTGAAGATATATCACTTTTAGACCCAGGATAAGATTTTAAAGTGTAAATCTTCGTATAAATGCATAGCCATTAATATCATCTGTGATATTTTAGGTCTCAGAGAGATACTGGTCCCACAGCGCTGTTATTAAAATGGCCTTAGAAAAAGGACTCCTAAAAATTTATGGCCACTTTTCCTGTGTGTATCTTCTTTTTCTCTTGAAAAGCTTCCTTTGAAGTCAAAGAGATTTTTGTGAACAGATGCAGAAATATGTGAAGGAAGAATTGGATTCTTAAGCCAGATGCATTAGACATTTTTATGATATCTCATAACCTTTGTAGAAAACAAAAAAAAATATTTTTGCAAGAGAGTAGTGTAATAGAAAGAAATGTATAGTTATCATATGGATGATTCTATCTAAAACCAAGAAATAGCCAAGTTGCTTGTTAATAGTTTTGGCTGCACCATTACTCCCTGAGATGAGAAGCATAATTGGGGGACCTACAAGCTCCTTTGTTAGAAACCATGACTGATAAAGTATTGTGATTCCTCAGTTGTTTTGTTTTCTTAAAAAAAAAAAAAAAAAAAAAGCAAAATCTTGGGTAATAAACTTGGCATTGGGGGCCTTTAATTATCTCAGAGGTAGGCTTTTGTGCCTCAAGGCTAGATGTAGACTCAAGTTTAAAATAAAAAGGAGGGGGGGGGAGCAGAAATAACAGAGTATCAAGCCATAGTCATTTTGAGATGCCTACCACCTCTATGAAAGCGGTTTTATTTTGCCAGGTGTTGCCTGACAGAAAACTGTTGAAGTCTGACAGGATGGGAGCAGTCCCGGAGTCAGAATGGAGACCTGACATGTTATGTTTAAATGCCACTGGCATTGGGTAAATAAAAGCCTGTCATCGTTAGGCAGACGCAGACTCCATACTTTCTCAAACACCGACTTAGGATTTTAGTGCGCAAAGAATGCAATATTGATGGTTCCCAGTTTTGCTTGGTTATTTATAATTACTCAGTTGAGATGTAGAATGGCCCCATTTTATCACACCTGATCAACACATTTAGCTATTAACTGTCCCAACCTGGGTTTGGCCCAAACTGTATTAATATACTGTTCCTACAGCTAATGGCCACTAAGTGTAGCCATTAGATGAAGGAATTATGCATGCAAAAACGATAGACAATGTGTTAGGTTTTTTTTTTTTTTTAATCTTGTATTTCTTTCCTACAATAAGGCTTTTTATGAATTGCTCTTTTTAAGTAAAATTATTTAAAAATAATTTTAGATGTACAAAGTTGCAAAATTTGTACACAGTATTCCTATATACCCCTCACCAAGGTTCTTCTTACATAGTCACCATCCAATGATCAAAGCCAGGAAATTAACTTGGTGCAATGCTAGCAGGTTTTCTTTTTCTTTTTAAAAAAATGTATTTTATTGATTTTTTTACAGAGAGGAAGAGAGAAGGATAGAGAGTTAGAAACATACATGAGAGAGAAACATTGATCAGCTGCCTCCTGCACACTCCCCACTGGGGATGTGCCCACAACCAAGGTACGTGCCCCTGACTGGAATGGAACCAGGAACCCTTGAGTCCTCAGGCTGATGCTCTATCCACTGAGCCAAACCTGTTAGAGTTTTTTTTTTTTTTTTTTTTTTTTTTTTTTTTTTTTTTTAACATAAGGCTTTAAGGCAGGTATCAGCACCTTCTTTTAAATCATGAGGAAGTAGACTTCAGTTAAGTAACTTGCATAATGTCACAAAGTGAATTAATTGGGGAGTTAGGATGGTAAAATTTACTAAATGGGATTTTGTTCCATAGTTTGCAATTAGTATTTGTTATTGTAGGTCTGTGATCTAATGACAGTAAACATTAGTGGTTCCAGTGACTTTGTCCTTAGCTCTTTCCTGCCTTGTATTGTCCTCCCAACATGCAACATGAGCTCATCAGCATGGATCGCTATGAGTTGCTGCTTTAGCCATCTGGGAATTTTGCTGGATGATAACTGTGCCAGTTTGATCAGCCTCTCCATCTTCCTGTGCTTTTCTTAAATGGTAACTAAAGGTATAATATTTTGTGGGTCCACTCTAAAACTCTTTTTAAGCTCAGTCAATCTAGGAGTTCCTTTGTTTAAAATGCTCCATAGCCCCAGCCATTTGGCTCAGTGGATAAAGCGTCAACCTGTGGGCCGAAAAATCCTGGGTTCGATTCCATCAAGGCATATGCCTGGACCACAGGAAGTAGGGGGCGTGCAGAAGGCAGCTGATCAATGATTCTCATCATTGCTGTTTCTATCTCCCTCTCCCTCTCTGACATCAATAAAAAATACATTTAAAATAAAATAAATTGCACTGTAGGTTGGTTTTCCTTGTGCACTGACTTAGCTTATTAGAAGTAATATATCACTTTAAAAAATATCTTTGAGTTAATGAAAACTCTCAGTATCTACAAAAAAATATCGAGGAGGAATAGCAGATCAATGCTGAGGATTTATGCCAGCAACTATTATGGCAGCTACAGCCAGGAAATACAGAAGAAATTGAGGCCACTGACCCCAGATCCTTTCTCAGCATATCTGTTGCATGACTGCAGGTTATAGAAAAACTGTCTGCAGAGGCTTGCACAATTATATATTTATACATTCCTTAAGTCTACAAATATATGTATACACACACACACACACATCCCTATGTCTTTCAGAAAAGGAACTAATAGTTAGCTAGTACCTGCTAT